ACAGTTCTGGTCTCGCGGGGCGGTGCTACACCGACCTCGACTTTCTCGAGGTCTTCGCTGGAGTGGGAGCCATCGCGAATGGCTTCTTGTCCAACGGGTTCGTGGGAACCACCTTCGACATCGACAACGGGGCGTCTCAAGATATCAATAGCGATGTTGGGTTCCTGTTCGCCTTGGTACTATGTTTGCGCATTCGTGCCCGCGGCTTTTGCTGGTTCGCCCCGCTTTGCTCCGGCTGGGCATGGGTGGCAACTGGGCCCACGCACCGATCACTTGCCCATCCGGGCGGCCTTCTGCCAAGTGCGTCTGTAACTTATGGGAATAAGATGGTGTCCCGATGCGTGCTCCTAATCTGGATGGCCACGGCTGACGCCTCGACCCAGCTCCAGGAAATCCCATGTGCCCCATGGTCCAAAACGCCCCAATCGCGTGGCCCTGGTCGTGATAGCATGCAACGAACCATCCTGACCCATAGCGTGCCTGGTAGCCACGTTCGCGTGGACGCGGATCCTGCATGCGCGCGGAGTGGTTGTGGCGCTCGAGCAACCCACCGACTCTTTGATGGAGAGGTATTGTAAGTTCCAAGAGCTCCTCACGCGCGTTCCTATTTACCAAGTGCGGGAGTGCTTGGAATACTTCGGTGCTGCTACCGCCAAGCCAATCTATGTATACAGTACAGTTCCTTGGTTTCAAAACATGTTGTGGTGGTGCCGCACCCAGAGCTGGCTTCCAGAAAGCACCGGTGATATCGTGATTACTTATGTGCGCAGTGATGGGCGCCGCTGTGTAGATGGCGGCCCAGGCCTCAAGAGTACGCAATCGTATCCGATGGCGTTCGGCCACGGCGTCGCCGCGGTATATCGCGAGAACTGGAGGATGCACCCTGGCGCTGCACATATCCCTGGCGATGGAAATGTAAACTGTGACCGTGTGCTGGCAATGGACTGTGGCCCTCTGTTTGATGACGCAGACCTCTGCAACGCGATCGCTGTGTTGCGATGCATGGCTGCGATCGCATGACGGAGTGGAGTGAACGCCAACATCATCAGCAACATCGGCACCACCATCGTCATCAGCATCATCACCGTTACTATCATCATCCCTATGCCGATGCAGTCTCAGCTTGCACATATCCCCATCATCCCACCACTTCGCACTCCCTCTGTCCCCCTTATCTCTCTCCACCCTCTTTCGCGCCGGCCGCCTACTGGCTCAGCTGCGGGAGCACGCGCAGCGAGAATTGAAATTGTAGATGAGATCAGAATGAGGGGGGCGAACGGTCATTCACTGTCCCTGGGTTTGTCGTTATTGTCGTCGTCGTCCCACCCGCGACCCGCCCGCGACCAGCCCGCGACCAGCCCCGCGACACACCCCGCGACCCACCCGCGACCCGCCCGCGACCCACCCGTGACCCACCCGCGCCCCACCCGCGACACACCCCGCGCCCCACCCCGCGACCCGCCATTTCACTCTTTTGCGCAATTGCGGGGTGCTACGCAAGCGTGGGACGACGAGGGCCGATGTGAGGAAATGAGTAGCAACTGTGTGGCTGCGCCATGTAGCGAGCGATCTGAATAGCTGGACCGTGCCATTCGCCCCCCTCATGCCCTCCTCCCAATCCCCCCCCCCCCGTCCTCTGCCCCTCCACATCCTCATCCTTCTCCTCCTCCTCCTCGTCCTTTTTCTCGGGCTCCCCGTCGGATGGAGCGAAGCCTTTCCGTGCCTGTGCCGTCGTCGTCGTCGTCGTCGTCAGCGCAGCTGCCGTTGTGGCGTTGCTTCCTGCGTCGTCGTCGTCGTCGTCGTCGTCGGGCACGTTCCGTGTAACTCGTCTGTCTTTCAGATTGGGGGGGGGTGCCCCTGGGAGCTCCCAGGCTACCCCCAGAGGTTCCCAGGACGCCCCGAAGATGCCCCAAGATGTTCCCAGGAGGCTGCAGGATGCCCAATGATGTTCCCAGGCAATATCATCGGCCTCAACATGCCCAATAATGTTCCCAGGGTGCCCCAATTTGCCACAATAAGTTCCCAAGATGCCCCCAGTATGGTTCCAAGATGCCGAAAGATGTTTTCAAGCACTACCCGCTAACGACCGTGAACCGCTTCACGCGTGAAGTTCACGTGAAATACCCGGTACTTCACGTGAATCGTCACGCTTCACGGGCCAAACTTGTGAAGCTCAAACGTGTTGAAGTTATGTAAGTCTGCTTGCCATAGTTGCGTGTCTGATGTGGCCATCGCTCTCGGTGCGCAACTGTTATTCATCATTGTATGCCCCAAACATCGCTTGCGCGTAGGGTTGTACCTCATGTTGCACCACACATAGCATACTAGAACACACTGGTTGGGGCCCACGCTGAAAAAATCGCAACAGTCAAGATAAATCATCACTGCGCCTGTATCGCATATATATATTAAAGCTAATAATTAGTCGCCTGAATCCAGATTAAAAATTAAGGAGCCTAGAAGTATACTATCCGTGAGTCTGTGACATCCGTATATAAAATCGGTATTTACATACTAGAACACACTGGTTGGGGCCCACGCTGAAAAACGCTGACATCGCTTAGCTCTATGCCCCTAGCCATTTGCGGCTGCAAGAGATGTGATTGAGCGCTATCCCGAGGCCCTCGCTCTGACGCTGACGCCCCCGAGGCCCTCGCTCCGATGCGGCCCATGGATCCCCTTGCAGGCAAAGGGACGGGCGCCCCCACGGGCGGTGGCATGTTGGTCGCCAAGGGTGGCCCCAAAGGCCTGACGTCCAAGGGGGCGCTGATGGCGGCGCACGCGCTTGGCGCGCCCAGCTCCAGAGCCACAGGTCGTGGCAAGCTGCCCGCCGCCGCGCCCACCGCGCAGATGAGGCCCCCAGCGCAGGCGATGCCCGCTGGGCCCCCCGCGCAGGCGACGCCCCCTGCGCAGGTGATGCCCGCGCGCCCGAGGCCCCCCGCCCAGGCGATGCCCCCCGCCCAGGCGAGTGCGGCGTCCAAGCCGGCGCCCGCCCTGCCCCCCCGCGCGGGTGAGCGCGGCGCCCGCCGCTGCCCCCGGCCAGCCCCACTCGTGGGCGAGCTCGGTGCCCGCCGCTGCGCCCGCCAGGGCAGGCAGGGCGCCTGCGATGCCTTTATCGACTGCAAGCTCTGCAGCGGCGGCCGCGGGCTTAATGCATGCTCTCCGGGGTCGGAGCCCCGATGGTGGGTGGAGGGGTGCGTGTGCAGGGATAATCGACGAGATATTGATGCTCGGAGACGGGGGGAGGAAACGGTATATATATATGACGAGATCGAGAGAGAGAGGGAGAGAGAGAGAGAGAGAGAGAGAGAGAGAGAGAGAGAGAGAGCGATAAAGAGGAGGGCTGTGCAGTTATATCTGGAGCTATGGGGTGAACCGACATGGTAGATACGATCGCTGCCAACATCGTTACATTCGGCTCCCATCGAGGTCCCGCGGCCCAAGGTGGTCACCACGGATAAACACACGATGGGCATGGCGTTTACACGGTATGATGCGTATGAACGCAAACGCGCACGGCGCGAGTTCGTCGACGCGTACCAGGCGTGGCAGCAATGCGAGGTCATGGGGACGAAATGGGCACCAAACGTAACACCCCGCAAATGCTGATAGTAATGATGGGGCGGGCGCGGGGTGGGTCGCGGGGCGGGTCGCGGGGCGGGTCTCGGGTGGGTCGCGGGTGGGTCGCGGGTGGGTCGCGGGTGGGTCGCGGTTGGGTCGCGGGTGGGTCGCGGGTTGGGTCGCGAGGTGGGTCGCGGGTGTGTCGCGGGGTGGGTCGCGGGTGGGTCGCGGGGTGTGTCGCGGGTGGGTCGCGGGTGGGTCGCGGGTGGGTCGCGGGGTGCGTCGCAGGTGGGTCGCGGGTGGGTCGCGGGTGGGTCGCGGTGCAGTGAATGACGGCCTGGCCGCCTCACTCTGATCAAGTGCCAGACGAGATCGAAACATACATGCTGATGCGGTCTGATCGAACGAACGAGGCCCTCGAGAAGAAGCGCATGGCCGCGTTCGCCGTGACGCCGCCGCCCAAGCTCCCCAGGACTGCGAGTGGGTCCCCCGCGGTCGACGATGACCTGGACGACTGGAGCGATGCCACGTCTGTCTCTGGGGCGACCTGGGCTTGAGTCCTCTCCTTTCCTTCTCCTCCTTTCCTTCTCCCCCTTTCCCTCCCTCCTCCTCCTCCTCCCCCCTCCCTCCTCCTCCTCCTCCTCCCCCTTCCCCTCCTCCCCCCATCCCCCTCATCCTCGTATTATGCATGCAAATTAACCTCCTCCTCCTCCTCCTCCTCCTCCTCCTCCCTCCACTCCGCCTCTCCGCCTCCTCCTTCCCCCTCCTACCTGCTGCCTCTCCTCCTCCTCCTCCCCTTCCTCCTCCTCTCCCCTCCTCCATCCTCCCTCCTCCTCCCCCCCCCCTCCGTCCTCCCCTCTCCCATCTCCCCCATTCACTAGCCACCTCAACTCTCCTCGAGCGCGCCCCTTCGCGCCACATCCGTCTCCTCCCCCCCTCCTCGACCCCTTCCCTCATATCCCTCCACCCCACCATCCTCCTTACCCCCCTTATTCCCCCATCCCCCCCCCCATCCCTCCCCCTCCTCCTCGCCCTCCTCCTCCTCCTCCTCCCTCCTCCTCCTCCTCCTTCCTCCTCCTCCTCCTCCTCCCGAGCACTCCGCCACGCCAGGTCCGATCCTGCGCTCCGCAGGAGCTATGCGTCTCTCACGGGTCTGCTCCTGGTCAGGTCTTTAATCCTGGTAGCGCATGTTTCATCCTTGTGAGCTCCTCCTTCTCCTCCTCCTCCCTCCTCCTCCTCCTCCTCCTCCTGCCCTCCTCCTCCTCCTCCTCCCCTCCTCCTCCTCCTCCTCCACCTCCTCCCCCTGCTCCTCCTCCTCCTCCTCCTCCTCCTCCTCCTCCTCCTCCTCCTTCTCCTCCTCTCTCAGCCTCCTTCCCTCATCCCCGAATGAGCCGAGCCCTGCGAAGGTATCCGACGCCGACGTCCGGGCGGGCATTCAGACATTCAGCCGCACCTTCGGGCTCGAGCCCGCCGCCATGATCGACGCCATGCTGAACGATCCGAACCTGATGAACCTCGTCGGCGGCGAGGTGTCGCGAGCCGCTTTAAACGCCATGCGCCAGGACCCGCGCAGGGATAATGACGCGACGCAGAGAGCCCCACACGTGCATCTCATTGTCCTGGCACAGCCTGAGCGCGAGCGAGTCTGAGTGTGAGGCATGCTGAGCGCGAGCGAGCCGAAGTCTGAGTGGGTCTGAGTGCGCGTGTGCGTGTGTGTGTGTGTGTGTGTGTGTCAGTGTTTGGGCGAATCGGAGCATGGCTCTGAGTCTGGGTGTGGGCGCGTCTGAGCGTGGCCAAGCCGCCGTGCAAACCGCCTGAAACATCCCCTCAATCTGGGCGCGAATCCTGGAGTGCCCCCACCCCTGGTGGCCCCCCCTGGGGGCGCCCAAATCGCGGCAAACATGACCCGTCGAAAGAGAGTGCTGAGACATCCCCACAATCTGCACGCAAACCGCCTGAGGCCCGGGGCGCCCAAGTAATCGCAGAGCGCCCAACGCCGAGGAGGGATGATAAGGACACCGAGAAGCATACTGAGAATGACGAGGGAGACGAGGGGATGAATATGGAGGAGGAGAAGGAGGAGGAGGACGTGGAAGAAATGCTTCCCCTGTTTCTCCTGCTTCCGCCCCCTCCCCCCCCGCCGCCGCTCCGCCCCAGAGGAGTTCGCGAGTGACGGCCAGGTGGAAGCCGTCGCCGACGTCATGGAGGCTGGAGTCCCGGAGCACGACGTGGCGGCGAACCTCGGCATGAGCAGCGATGTCAGCGCGGAGGTCGACGCGATCATGAGCGGCGAGGGCGCGGCGGGCTCTGGCAATGCCCCTGCCGAAGCTGCGGTCGACCCCTCGGCCTGGGGCGCCATGGCCGCGCTGGGGGCGGAGGCCGAGGTCTTTGATCAGCAGGCGGCGGCTGCGGGCATGCTGGACGGCGCGGGGGCACGCCCCCTCGAGGAGGCGTGCGCCGCAGAGGGCGCGCCCGCCGCTGCGGATGAGGCGCCCGTCGCGGCGGTCGGCTCGTGCGAGGGGGCCGTCTACGTCCCTCCAGCGAGCGTCTTCGCGCCCACCATCAATCGCGGCATTCCGATCGATCAGCTGTTTCCGAGGCGGCACGTCCCGGGCGCGGGCTGCGTGGCCCGAGCCGCCGCTGCGGGGGGGGGCGTGCCCGCCGAGGTGGAGGAGGTGCCCGCTTCGGCGGATGAGGCGCTCGCCGCTGCGGTGGATGGGGAGGGGCCGCGTCGCGTCGCGAGGCGCCTGGGCACGAAGGAGGTCGAGGCGGTGACGGACGCGGTGCAGCTGGCAGCCGCCACGGCAGGTGATGCAGCTGGGCCTGCAGTGGCTGATATAGCATCAATGGACGCCGCGACAGCGGCAGCCGCGGCAGCGGCAACCGGCCTGTGCGAAGCACAAGCGGCAACGCAGACGGCTGAGGAGGCAGCGGCTGCGCAGAATGCTGACAAGGCAGCGGCTGCGCAGACGGCTGAGGAGGCAACGGCAACGCAGACGGCTGAGGAGGCTGCGGCTGCGCAGAAGCTTGAGGAGGCAGCGGCTGCGCAGAAGGCTGAGGAAGCAACAGCTGTGCAGACGGCTGAGGAGGCAGCGGCTGCGCAGACGGCTGAGGAGGCAGCGGCTGCGCAGAAGGCTGAGGCGGCAGCAGGGCGGGAGCAGGCGGCGACATCTCTGATGCAGGCCTCCAAGGATGCAGCGGAGGCTGCGAACAGAGCGAGGACACTCGCGGAGTTCGACGCGCAGGCGGAGGCGCTCAGGCAGCAGCCGGAGGCGAAACTCGCGAAGGGGCAGCAGGTGGATAGGAACGAGCATGCGCCAATAGCAGCGGATGTAGCCGCAACGCTGGCGTCGCCATCGATGACCGACGTTTCCGGGGGGAGTGGCGGCGCTGGCAGCGGGAAGTGCGCCGAGAGCATCAACGGCCACGACCAACAAGATGTGCCCATCGACCTCAACTCCAACACGCACCGCTCTGCCTATCTGGCTGGCCTGGCGGCCCTCCGACATCCCGAGCTTGCCCCCCTTAATGTTCTGAGCTCGTGGGGGGCAGCCTCAAGTTGCAGTTTTCTTGGACGTCGTCGGCCCTGGGGTTCGTCATCTTCAGGGCTGTGTTGAGTCCAAGTCCTGGAGGCCCCCCTTGCAGAGGGATGCGGACATGCGCTTCTGCCGTGCGATGAAGAATCCCAAGAATCAAGCCAAACACCCAGACCTCGTGGCCCGTTTCAAGGACGCTGGGAAAAAAGCAGACCTGTTCAAGGACTTGTTCCAGCAGGGTGAGAACCTGGAGATGCTCGAGCTAGTGATCAGGAAGAAGCTCAGGAACCTCCAGGACGCATCCAGGAAGTATCTGAAGATGACGAAACAGGATCTGATGAATAAGTTCCACAACGACGAGGCGTACGTCCTCAAGGTGATGGCCGACTGCAAGAAGAAGAAGAGGGTCACCAGGGACCCCCTCGTCCCCGAAGATGACGAGAAAGTGAAGTACTGGATATTGGACGAGGAGGCCATCGTATTCCACCGCGAGCTCTCCGAGGAGGTGGAGCTCGAGCAAGTGATCGCGATTGAGGATCGCGACGAGGCAGCGGCCATATCCGGGAGCCTGGGCAGCACGGGCACCTTCGGCGGCATGCACGGCTTCTCGGATTTCGCTGACATTGCGGACATGGACGTCGACGACGATGAATACGAGGACGGCGCCTGGTGGGACTGGTCCAAGGGCAAGGGCCAGAGCCAGAAGGGCAAGGGCAAGTCGCAGAAGGGCAAGGGCAAAGGGAAGAAAGGCAAGGTCCAGAACGGCAAGGCCGACGCGTCCGGCGCGGGCGGCCACGCCGACGCGGCGGGCCAGCCGGCTGCTGGCGCAGGAGGCGCGGGCGGCGCCGCGGGTGGCGCGGGAGAAGCGGGTGGCGATGGTGCCGGATGCACTGGCGGCAAGGGTGGCACCCCGATGAGCCCGACCGACAAGGTGAAGGAGGCGAAGGCGCTCATGGGCAAGGTCTCCACCGCCGTCGGGACGCGCCGCAAGCAGACGATCACGGTGCGGCTCCTGAACGTGAACGATCAGCTGGCGGACCAGCTCGAGAAGATCGGCAACGCCTTGGAGTCGGTCTACACGCAGTCCTTCGGGTTGGTCTCGCAGAACAAGGCCCACGAGACCCAGTGCAAGGTGCTCGAGGGGAAAGCGACGCAGATGCTGGAGCTCTGGGAGAAGAAGAACCAGTACGCGAAGGCCATTCTCAACGTGAAGAAGCGCCAGGCTGGGGCCCTTCTTCCCTTTATCCTCCTCGTCGTCCTCCTCCTCTTTCCTCTCTTCCCCTGCCTCCTCATCCAAACTCCCACTCCACCACTTCTGAGGACGAGGGAAGAAAGGGGTCGGCGTCGGGCAGCAAACCGGCCGCGGGAGCTGGGGCAGCGTGAGCTCTGAGGGCATCGGGATGTCAGCGCTCAATTCTGAATGAATTCAAAGCTGCGCGGGCCAACACTACACTGGCTCGGGATGCTCCTACCCCTGCTGCCTACTACCACCTACTCCCAAACATCTCCTCTGCACATTCCATTCCACACCTCTCCCGTGTTTTTTGAGTGGCCCGCGTAGTGCGTCCGAGGGTCGCCCTGCATGCAACGCCGGCGCTGCTAGCTTTCTTGCTACTCTCCCTCCTCGACCCGCTCGACCGCCCCTTCTCCGCCCGTCGGGTGCAACGCCGAATCGAGCGACGCGTTCGATTTGCACGCGTTGCTGGCTAGTAGGCGTCGCCTCCAACGCAGGGCGCTGGGGCACCCATACGACGTCTAGCTAGACTCTGGGGTGAGGCGGCGGAGGAGGAGGTGAAAGAGGGGTGATGAAGTGGGAGGAGATGGGGGGGGGCAGGAGGAGGTAAGCGGAGGAGGATGAGGATGAGGGCAAGGAGAAGGAGGAGGAGGAGGCAGGATGATATTGGAGGAGGTTTGAGGAAGTATGATGAGGGTGTGGGACGAGAAGGATAAGAAGGCAATATGACAAGATGATGGAGACATTCGGTCAGTGTTAGAGCGCGTGGGATACGGAAAGGAGGACCAGGATGAGAAGGATGCTGGGGAGGAGGATGATGAGGAGGAGAAGGAGGAGGAGGAGGAGGAGAGGGAGAGGATGGAGCACCCCGATTGCATGACGCGCGCGCGCGCTATCTAGGCTGGAGGCGACTGGCCCCCACCGAGTTTAATTGGCGGAACCCCAAAAGGGGACGGGGGAAGAGGAGAAGGAGGGGGAGGGGACTGAGGAGGAGTAAGAGGAGGAGGAGGAAGAGGAGGAAGAGGAGGAGGGTGAGGAGGAGGAGGAGGAGGAGGAGGGCGAGGAGGAGGAGGAGGATGAGACATAATGCCGCACTGCCAGGCTGCACCACTGAAATGGCCTCCACTGCCCTCCACTGCCCCCTCCTCCACGGCTGCCCTCCACTGCCCTCCGCCGCCCTCTCCGCTGCGCCCCGCTGCCCTCAACTGCCCTCTCCGCTGCCCCCTCCTCCGTAGCTGCCCTCCACTGCCGTCTCCAATGCCCTCTCCACTGCCCCCTGCTCCATGGCTGCCCTCCACTCTCCTCCACTGCCCTCTCCGCTGCCCCCTTCTCCATGGCTTCCCTCTACTACCCTGCGCTGCCTCCCCACTTTGCCCCGCCTTCCCCCGCTGCCCTCTCCGCTGCCTTCTCCGCTGCCCTCTCCGCTGCCCTCTCCACTGCCCTCTCCACTGCCCTCTCCGCCACCTTCTCCGCTGCCCTCAACTGCCCTCCGCTGCATTCCACCGCTTGTTTTTTTTTTTTTTTTTTCGGATGAACGCTCGGCCCTATGGGAAATGTCCGGGCCGCGGCCCCCGCCCCGCCGCAGGACTCGCCCTCTCTTCTAACGCTGCCTGTGCTGCGCAGCCCGAGGACAGCCGCACCACTCTCTACTTTCTCCCTTATCCTCTCCTGTTCCTCCTTGTCCTCCTCCTCCTCCTCCTCCCTCCGCCTCCCCCTCCACCTTCACCTCCTTCTCTTCTCCCATCTCATGTTCCTCATCTCCCCCCTCCTCCTTCCTCTTCCTTCTCCTCCTATCCCCCCCCGCCCCACCCCCCCCTCCCCTCCGCCGAACCCCCGCTCCGGCGCAGGCGCGAGCCGCGGCGGCGAAGCTTATTTGATGCTGAAGGGCCCGACGATCCTGTCGAGGATTTTATACTACATTTTTATTTTATTTAATTATATTTTATATAATATTATTTTTATATTTTGTTTTTATATTTTTTTATTTGTATTTATTTTATTATATTATTTTTATGTATATATTATTTTTATTAAATACTACATGAGCTTGGGTCTGGAGGCCAACACATATCGGCGATTGTCAGGTTTTGTAGAGCACTCCAAGCAACTGGCAGGGGCGGCGGCCGAATAGACTGCATGGCGGAAGCCTGCGCTGCATCTGGCGCCGGGAATGCCGAGCGGAACCTGCGCGCCAGGATGCAACACTTGTACAGTGCAGCGTGACTCCGTACGAGATCACGCTTACGATGCGAGCTGAAAACGGAAACGAGATTCCCCAGACCACGCCATGCTTCGCCCCGTACGAGATATTTTCAGAGCTGACCAACCACGAACCTCAAATGAATATGACCTTACTTGGTGACAAAGGCATGGCAGGCCCCAGATGGTTCTGGGGCAATGTCAAAAGATATCGGACACACCACATATTCGAACCAGAATGGGCAGATACAGAAGAGCTTCGCTCGTTGCATGCCGGCGGCGCCGTCGACGCCGTCGTCGTCGCGGTCGTCGTTCAGGGTCGGCGGCCCAGGCCGCAAGGCCTTTCCAATAGAGCGAGAAAGAGAGAGAGAGAGAGAGAGAGAGAGAGAGAGAGAGAGAGAGAGAGTAAGAGAAGGAGGAAAAGAGAGAGAGAGAGAGAGAGATAAAGAAAGATAGATAGAGAGAGAGAGAGAGAGAGAGAGAGTAGTAGAGAGAGAGAGAGAAGAGAGAGAGAGAGAGAGAGAGAGAGAGAGGAGAGAGAAGAGAGAGATAGAGAGAGAGAGAGAGAGAGAGAGAGAGAGAGAGATAAGAAGCGAAGAAGCGAGGGAAGGAGAGAGAGATAGAGGAGAG